AAGGAGAGGTCTGACTATAGTATATATAAACTTTAATATTAAATCTACTAGTCTGTTTTGGCTGATTTTACTATCAAAATATCTGTCTTAATTAGAGGATTCTAACAAGCCCAAAATCATTAAAATTTAATTATTAGATTATAAAATAGCTAATATTTTGTATTATTTTAAATAATATATATATTAGCAAATCTACATAATTACTATTAAAAATTTTAAAATATTTGACAAAGAATAATTTTTGATCTACTAGTTTATTTTAGATGATTTTACTATCAAAATGATTATTGCAGTGAGATTATTCTAAAGAGCCCAAAAATATCAAAATTCAATCACTGAATTTTGAGAAAATTGCCAAGTTGTTTTTATTAGATAAAATAAAAAGAGTTAAACCCATTCTATTTTATCTAATATAAACAAAAGAATTTAACTAATTTTAACTCCTGGTTAAAATTATAAAATTTTTTAACCACTCTTTATTTTTATAGAATTTTTTTATAAAAATAAATATTTTTTAAAGATTAAAGTTAAAATACTGGCTAAATTAAGTTAACATGCAGCTTATTTATATGCAAAATTAAGTGCTAAAAACTTTTACTTAATAGCTTATAACTAGTTTTTATAATAAAATTTTGCAATATTGTTAATTTTTTAATTTTTTTCTAAATTTTTTTAAAAAATTTCTTTATTTTGTTACACAAGATCCTGTGACATGATTGGTAAATTATGGGTAGTTAAATCACTGGGGGCAAGTTAGCAATATCCAAAACAAAATATCATTAATTTCAAGATTTAGTAATTAGATTTTAATATTTTTGGGCTCTTTAAAATCATCTTACTAAGATGGTTATTTGATAGTAAAATTATTTAACATGAACTAGTGGGTTAAAAGTTATTTTTTGTCAAATATTTTAAAATTTTTAATAGTAATTACATAGATTTGCCAATATGAAAATTTAATTATTTTGTAATCTTGTAATTAGATTTTAATAATTTTGGGATTGTTAGAATTCTCTAATTGAAACAAATATTTTGGTATAGTCAGATCTCTCTAAGTGTATATTATTGAGACTAGCTCTGAGATATGCATTTAAAGAGGGTTGTATTTAGAAAACACTAATAGAATTATAGTATATGAGCAACTATCAATAGAAATTAAGCAAATCTTCATTTAAAAGAAATTTAATACCTTAGCTTTCATAGCTCACATCTTGATAAATTTTAAAGCTATCTTGATATTTTTATATTCGAAAGAAAGCTTATGATCTAAGCTTTCTTTTGAATATTAAACCATCAATATAGCTTTAAAATTCATTGAAATACAAGCTGTGAAAGTTAAGGCATTAAATTTTTTTAAATGTAGATTTGGCTAATTTCTATTAATAGCTGCCCATATACTATATAAGTCACATGTTAAAATTATCTTGTATAAAATTATATAATCTTGATTTTATTGGCTAATAATCATGTGATATGCATTTATAGAGGAATTTATATAGATTACCCAGGGTGGACCCCCCAAAGTTCAGGTGATGATCGATGTCATATCATATCATCATATCACAGTTATAATACGATCACTGATTGGATTATCATATTAGATTAGATGAAGCTTTCAGTACTCTAAATCTCTTTACTCTCCATATTAGATTCGATGAAGCTTTCAGTACTCTAAATCTCTTTACTCTCCATATTAGATTCGATGAAGCTTTCAGTACTCTAAATCTTTAATGAAAAAAAGACTCTCTATATATCTATTCTATAATTAGTTTCAAAGATAACATTTAAAAAATATTTTTTAAAAAAGTTCATTATAAAGTTAGTTTATTATATCCGAAATTTGACTGTATAATAGACTTTAATTTTTATTTTCTCAATTTTATTATTTTTTTTTTATTAATTGCTATCTATTTTTTCACTAATATTTTAAAGTTTAATTAGTTTTCATCAATTACTATATTTTCTAACTGGTTTGGCTCTTTCGGAAATGAAAGATACATAAGATACAGTTTCTTAGTATTTTCTGGTACCCAAGTCATTTGCTGACACCTTCTCCATTCTACAGACTGAATATCTTTCTCTATTGGTGTCAAACAACTCCATTTCATCATTACGCTAACTTGTTTCCAATTATTTGCAGATTTCTCTGTACAAACCTGCTTGAATGCTTGCGCAAACAATTCCTAGTTTGATTCCATGTAGGTACAAGCTTCTTCGCCTGGATTCTCATCAACATTAATACTGTAATTATTAGGTGTGCAATTAACATACATTTCATTAACTGAAGCATCAGAAAATTTAGTGTTAGTGGTATCAGAATCACGAATAATAAGAAATGGAGGGTTGTATGCTGCTCAAATTCACTTCTGATCAAATGTTGTCTTTTTCCATCAGGTAAGTTTACAACTTGCCTTACAAGATATTTGCATAATAAAAAACGGCTACCAACAAATGCTGAGCAACTACAAACCCACTGATCAAGACTGGTAAAGTATGAGTTTTCCAAATTTGTTATTATTAAATCAATATTACTCTTTCTTTTGTTACTATTACGATTTGTACATAATTTTACTCGCTCCTTTTCATTCGTACCAGCATAGGTTCATGCCTTTTTAAAATCATTCCACCAGGATGGTTCTACTATACCAGCCTGAATTTGCAAAAGCCGGTCTTTTTGGGCTGGCATCACTTCATTTAAAAGTGTCCACAGCATAAGATCCAGCCTAGGCTGATTAAATCGTTATAAGTAATAATGCTTTATAACACTCCAATGATCCTCAATTTTCATTGTTGTTTTCTCGTAGAGTAAGTGGGCTTTGTTAAATGAGCTCAAAGATGCCACCTCTGTGACGAATACCAGTTAGTCCAGAGGTAGGCCCAGAGTAATTGTAATTCATTTTAAGTACAGAATTAATACATCTCCTTCACGGCACTTTTTCTGATAGCCTCTACCTCTCTTGTGCATCTACAGGTATTAAGGGATATAAGTCAAAGTGCCTCTGCATCAATTCTAAAATTTTTTCTTGAAAGGTAAAAGGGCATATAACATATGACCGTAGATTACGGCCTTCTTCTATTGGGTAAAACATAGGATTAATGAAGTCAAATACATTAAATACATCATTTGCATTATAATTCACAGTTATTAATCCAGCATTGCCTGTAACAAATTTTATAATTAATACAAATTTTTTTTAGTTTATTTTAATTTGTATATTACCTAATAGCTTCGCCTTTTCTTCGAGTTTATATTTTACAGCATGCTTCATATACCAGGCGCATAATTGAACTACTGATACCCCCACATCTCAGATATGACAAAGTTTGGGTTTATATTATATGACTTTATGACTTTTAGGAATTGTTCTAATATTATACAACATTTTTCTGTATAAGTGCTTGTGTTTGTTGCCTTAATCGTATCCATTATAAGATATACAATAGGAAAACCAGATTCATCAACATCAGCAACAAGACCATAAAGTTTGTAACGTCTACGAGTGGTTTTATATGTTGCATCTATATAGATCTCAGATATGTGGATATTATAATCATTAAGTTTTTTTAACAATAGAGTTGTAAATGGTATTGCAGTAGATTCTGAATCCTGTATATCCAAGCATTAATAGAAATCCTGATTTCTATATTCATTGAGTAGCCTGCATGCAGATTCTACTGAATTATCATAATGTTGGAATATATTTTTATTTGCTATAGTTTTCCAATAATGTATTCACTTTTGTGAATACTTTGAAATATCAAATCCTTGGTGCCTTAGATAGGTTGTTAGCTAAACCGTTGTAAGATATGCATGGGCTTTAATTTCCTTACGTAGTTCTTCTGGCATCTCAACATATAAATTTGGTCGTTGATAAACAGATCCATGCTAAATATTTATTTTTACAAAACTGACAACTGTATCAACTCATACTGTAATCTTGCCCTTACAGTTATGACGAACATGTCTTTTGCAATTAGATTATTTATATTCTTTGCTTTGTGTCTCATTTGACTGGCAACACAGATACGTAAACCTGCTAACTGTATTGCCATACTTTCTTGAGTAGGTGGCCTCATAAAATCTATAGTAAAGGTAAGAAGAATCATTAAAGAAGTAGATAAAGTGATGAATCAAATATATTGATTATAGTATATTATGATATCTTTATTCAATACCATGAAATATAGCATTTTTTAATGAATTATGTATATGTCTATGAAAAGTTATCTTCTCCTTCAATTTTAACAGTGACAAGATTAGCAATTTCTTTAGATATTATTTTTTGAGTATCCATATTCATTTTTACTAATAGATGTGTTTGGTAGACAATATCTGCTACTCTATTAATATAAGAATTGGCTATCACCTCTCAAATCTTATCTGCAATAAAGTCACTAACCTCAAGAAAATCGATCTTAACGTATATTTCATTATTATTATATTCTATATCTTGGCCAATAGCTTCAGATTGATCAATTGGTAGAAGATTTTTTTTCGATCACGATTTTTTTGCATTTAATGTATGTTTTGTGTTGAGTACTCTCCCAAATGAATTGGTTATCCTGACGTTTAACTTTACATTTATTACACTTTTTCATTTTAAGCTAAGTTTATGAGTATTAAAATTTAATATTATTAATCTTGGCTTTCAAACAAATTTCGCTATAGCAAAGTTGCTTATATTTATACGAATAGATATCTTATTAAACATTATATATTTTTTTATTTATAATATATATAATAGGAATCTAAACGAAAAGCCTCTAATTTTCAAAATAAAGTATTCAAACTTAGGGAACTATTACTTATAGCCTCCTCCATTTAACAATTGCAAAGTTCTGATGTAATCAATTTTATCAATTACGTTTTTTGATTATATTAGAATTAGTAATTGTCAAATGAGAGAGGCTATATTTATGTAATAAGTGTTAGTTCTCTTATACAATTCAGGAATTTTTATTGTTTAACAATAAAAACTTTTAAAAATTGTATAAAACCATTAGAAAAGAGCCTCTTCTAGATGGCCTCCTCGATAACTCCCCATAACAATAACAGGTTCTAAAATAATCGTTCATATATGTAATTATTTTATTATTTTAGAACTTGTCATTGCTCTAGGAAGCTATCAAGTAGACTATCGGAAAGAGGACTATATTAAGCTCTTTTCTTTTAGCATCTATTAGAAACCTTTATCTTTTAATTTAATTGTGCAGCCAATTATAAATTAAGACCATGTTCTTTCTCAAACATCTGAAGCGAAGTGAAAGAATATTAATATTCAGGTATACAATTAGCAACAACAATTTAAATATAATTTGAGAATTAAAGGTCTGTTTGCTTTTTTAATTTATTTAATAAATTTTAAATATTTATTTGTTTTATTAAATATGCTATTCTTTTAATTTCTTTTAACACTATTTTACTTAAACATGAGAGCATGATTATGACCTAGGCTGTATTTGAGTGCATTAGAATAGATATGACGAGACATAAGTAATCCAAACAGAAGCGAAGCATAATGTATTTGCTTTGAATTCGATGAATCTGAATCTGAATATTGGCTAGGAGCTAGAAATGATTGTTGGCAATTGCACAATCATGATCACTACAGCATATAAAAAATAATATTTGGGTCATAGAATTTTGCGAATTATTAAAGAGTTACAATCGAATTTTTTATATACAATATCAGTAAAGTATTTATTTTTATTTTATTTAATTTTTTAATATTGAGGTGACCACTTAGGCCCCTGGCACTTTATTAGTTCAAACGGGTGGGCCATTGTCCAAAGACTG